CCTTCAACGTCGACACAAAGGTGTTTGACCGTGGTGAGTGTTGTGTTCTTATTATTTGATTTATGTCTGAAAATGACCACAACCTGGAAATTAATAGAAATCGAACAAACCATTTCATTCAGAGTTTGTGTCTCCGTTTTCCAGTCTATTTTTAGTTTATTGGCTTTGAAGTATGGTTCGTGGGGCTTGTCGTCTCCGACGACGACGAGAACACGGTTAGATCCTGGGGTCCATGACAACTCTTCCCTAACTTGTCGGAGAACAAGCTCGTAACACTCGCCGTGGTCGTATGTGCCTCCTGTATCTTCAACGTTCATGACGAAGTCGCAGAGCCCTTTGACGTCAGTGGAGAAGTCGATCCATTTTGTGACATATGTGGATTTAGTGCAGTAGTCACCGTGTGCGAAGACGGCGATTCTGACGGCAGGGATGTCAGCCTGGAGCCGCTGTATCATGTCCTGGAGTCGACCTCTGACTTCGGCGAGACAGTCGCACATGGAGGCAGTAGTGTCAAAGGAGAAGACAATCTCCGGAAGTCCACCAGGAGGAAGCAAAGCCATGTTGAATCTGTTTTAAAATTGTTCATTTTAATTAACATGTTTCTTTATGTTATTTTTCGTAAAGTAATTTCTTTATCTTTAATACATTTCCTTCACAAATTTGAAAGTTGTTTTCTTTGCAAAGCCCATTTTAATTTATATAGACATACGCCCCGTGAAGATCCGGGGCGTAAAAGGCACGTTTGCTTGTCGTAAGAGGCGACTAACGGGATCGGGTGGTCAGGCTCGGTGACTTGGTTGATGAATCGCAGTGTTTCATGGTTATGACTCGATTATTTACAGACCGCCCTCATATAGCTGGAATATTGCTGAGTGCGGCGTTAAACAAAAAAAAAAAGGAACATTAGACAAACAAGTACTGTTAATGTGATTACCTGTTTTTCTTTGATTAGTGACGGTAGTTCGTGAACTATGGTCATTCGCTGCTGTGAGATATGGTTTATGCAATAAAGTCTCTCAACTGCAGCTGCGTATGCTATGTGTGCTGAATGATCTTACTGGGCGAGCCCGCTAGCTTTTATACTGGCTGAAAGACGATCGATGCCGCCTCGCTCAGACTCGTTTAGACAAGTTTAGACATGCTCTGCGGTTGTGAAAATGTTCATGCCTCTGTGTTTCTCGACAGTGTTTCAACTTAGGCTTTGCTTATGAAAACAAAACGAACTAAAATTCGTGGATGAAAAAAATGTTGTCTTGTCTGTATCGAACATATTTGATTTGGGGAAAAGCGGGTCATACAGAACTGATATATGAAACATATGTTCAGAAACAGTTGAACGTACTCTCTCAAATACGCTGTTTATACCAGTGCTCCTTACACTGTCCGTCGGTAGATATTTTCGCCATGAGCGGTAGATATCTGCAGTGTACAAAGTTTGTATTTTGTGCATGACGTCATGCTTCGCGGAATGTTTTACTTGCTCAGCGAAATATGTGTCTGACTCAATGTTAGTATCAGGGCATAATTTATATATTTCTGATACATTTGTAGTCAGTTAGTTGTTCATTAATACATGTGTTGGACTAGAATAAATGGAACATTACATTATACATGACTGACGTACATGTAGTGTATCATTTGGTTATCTAAAACATTAACAAAATAACAAGGTACGTCTATATTTCGTTCATCTCTATTGTACCTATAGGTTATTGCTGTGGTTAGTTTAGTGAATAAGCCATCTTGTTACATATACGAGACAATACCTGAAAAATATATAACCACTTTCCACGAGATATATTGGTAAAAGACAATGGACAGTTCCCTTGTGTAATAATAATATTCGTAGTTTGATTAACGTGGGGCTCTTCATGATAGAATTGTATTGTGCACTTTAAAGTTCTTTGATAGGCATTTCGAAGTTTGAGTACCTTTACCAAGTAAGTATAAGAATTTATGGATGAACAACTTCTTTATTACAATTAAGAGCGACGTTTCGGTGTAGGTTCTAACACCGTTATCAAGCAAATGATATACCGAGTGTGGTTAGCAAGTATATATACAAGTAAAATTTTAGGAGGCAATGTTTATACAGTAGAGTAGATATTGTTATAGTGAAGTAGAGAAGCCTGTTATGTACACACAAGGGTAGTGACGACAATCATCGGTGAAGTCAAAAATAGGAATAACACATACATTAAAGCAGATATATTGACTGGATAAGAGAAATATGGTGATAAAATGATCGTACAAATTACAGGTATTCAAAGTGATTCATTTAGGTGTTTAAAAACGTAAAAACACATACATTAAAGCAGATATTGACTGGATAAGAGAAATATGGTGATAAAATGATCGTACAAATTACAGGTATTCAAAGTGATTCATTTAGGTGTTTAAGAACGCAATAACACATACATTAAAGCAGATATTGACTGGATAAGAGAAATATGGTGATAAAATGATCGTACAAATTACAGGTATTCAAAGTGATTCATTTAGGTGTTTAAAAACGTAATAACACATACATTAAAGCAGATATTGACTGGATAAGATAAAATATGGTGATAAAATGATCGTGCAAATTAAAGGTGTCAAAAGTGATTAATGTAGGTTTTTAAAATAGTAATAACACATACATTGAAGCAGATATTGACTGGATATGAGAAATATGCTGATAAAATGATCGTGCAAATTAAATGTATCCAAAGTGATTAATTTAGGTGTTTAAAGGTGAGGTGAGGTGAAATTGGGTTTAACGTCGCGTCCAAGATTATTGCACTTATATAGCGACGTGCGTGCACGTGTATTTGTGTGTGTGGCTGCTTGTACTAGTCCGGACTGATGCCGATTTATAGTGCTAGCTCACTGAGATACCATGCCGCAGTTTAACATGAATACCCCACTCAGACACAGTATACTGACTCCGAGCCGACCAGTCCTTGTTTTAGCCCCTTAATGCCGAGCGCCAGACAGGGTAACAACAAGTACAATCTTTTAACGTCTTTTTGTATGACGCGGCCGGGATCGAACCCTGGACCTTCCGCTCTCCGGGCGGACGCTCTACCACAAGACCACGGAGGCGGTCTAGGTGTTTAAAATAGTAATAACACAAACATTAAAGCATATATTGACTGGGTAAAAGAAATATCGTGATAAAATGATCGTGCATAAATAAGAGGAAGATACATAACTTACAAGAAGTGCGAATGCAGGTAATGCTTCTAATTACGAAGCATTAATAGATTCTCAGCCGATGACTGTTATTCAAATCGTTCAAACAGACTACATGTCTGTAAGTCTGTTTGTCTGTCAAATTGTTTCATGTATTTATAGTTACATGTGTGTGTGCAGCTATGTCATAAGCATGTGTTTATGAACCATTATCAATCATTTACGATACCAGGACTGGTGCTCGTGAAAAGGGTGAGCTCATCCTCTCCCACCGATGGCACCTGTCAAAAACACATGCACATGCACATGCAAGTCAAGTGTTCACCTGAACAAACACGGAAACATATGATACAAGTCAAAATATGAAAGTGCATCGGACATAATTTTGGTCAGTGGTGCGACAAATTTGAAAATGACCTCCACATACCTACCAGCATTTAGGAAGCCTCATTAAGGCATGAAACATGATCTGGTATCGTCCACATTAGTACTTTCGTATTTTAGTTTTACGATTAGTGTAAATATGTCAGATTCCTATCGTTGGTTTCACCTTGTTATATACACTTTTGAGTATGCTAATTGACCTTCCTAGCCTTGTCTGGTGATTACTTCAGAACTATATATCCGAGACGTATGGCTGTTTCAGAGAGGATAGTGAGTGAGAGCTGCTTTGAAGAGAAACTTACATCGACACTAGATCACGGAAGCGGTCCGAATACATGTAGGAACCTAAAAATAGTCGTTATGTTATTGTGTTGAGACATATCTAATACGCGAAGAATGATCAGTCGAATGTTAGACTATGTGATTGGTCTTTGTTTATGTTGTTGGACGTTATCGATTTTAACCCGATTCTTGTTGATTTCAGAAGTATCTTCAGCTACCCATATTATCGTTCCCTGTCAGGTGTTCCAACTCTAGCTCACGTGTCAAAATAATAATTTGTGTTACATTGATATTTGTAAAAGAAATGCTACATCGTATAAAAGTAGTAAATACTGTATAAGACTATCATCATGTGATGTTTCAGTTAAATAGGGTTCGAACTATATAAATAACATGAGGTAACATGTGCACATTACTTAATGTGCTAAAGTAATCACTGAATATGAGAAGCAAGCACTCCCTTAGTCTCTTTGCAAACAAACTGATAATTCTAAATCAGAATATCAGTTTTAAACAATCTCGGCCCTTGTGTGGCTTTTTCGAGTAAGACAACACGTAGGCACTGCAGTTGACAAATTATGATGGATTCGCATATTTGTTTTAATCATCAGGAAGTCTATATACCACATTATAACCGTTTACCTAACATAGCGAAAATAACAGTGAACAACTTGCCGGATATAAATGCACAGTTCACACAGTTCGCAGCGCATGTAAAGGGAGATAACTCGTAAACGACTATCCTGAGTGGCAATGTGAACCAAACTGCTACGGGCATGGACAGTAACACAAAGTGTTTGTATATCAGTATATATCTTTTTTTCCAACTACAACTATGCTCTCTTTCCGTCGTTCACCCGTCAGGTCACTGTTATTGTACAAAAGTTTCGATCGAGTTCAGGACTTATAAGGATTTAAGTTGTATCACTTGTATATCGCATATTTTTTGTTCCAAACTGTATTCTTTACAATTCGTTACTGTGTGTCAGCACGCACACACACACACACACACACACACACACACACACACACACACACACACACACACACACACACATTATATATATATATCGCTAAACATATTCTTTCACGTTGCATCATAAAGCTTCCCATTTCGTACACCTCAAAGTGTCTGCAAAAAAACCCCATTAACTAGCACATTTAAGTAAAAACGTTTATTCATATTTTCATAGTGAATCTCACTTAACCATTAACTGTAAACAATAAAAGAAATACAATCTTTCACTAATATTTAACATGCTCACAGTCAATCGGACGCGCTGTTTATCACTCACGCACTGTAAGACATGCAATGTTCTATCCTTCACATTAAGGAGCAGTATGACATGAGACGAGGTCATATGTCGATTAAGCCATATGAAGTCAAACTAAAAGCTCGCATATTATCTGTCACTTCTTAAACAGTGAAATAGTCAATGTGAGGGATCAGTGACTATTACATCTTGTCAGATGAAATCGTGCAAGTTTGTTTGTTAACATGTCGAGCACCTGAGCGTGATCTCAGACGCATCCAAGCGAAGTCATAGGACTTTATTAAAGCGGCTGTTTTAACGTGACTTGAGGCTCTTCTGTACACCACCCTCCGCACATGGACACTGCAGTCCTGCGACACAACATTGTTCACCTGAGCTCTGACAATTTTGTTTCCGAGAAGCCGCGTTTCCCAGTTGACATTATGAGGAATATGGCGACAGAACTTGCTGAATACTACAAACTTTCGTCCGTATCGGGTGGTCTGAACACCGATCTCATAGAGAGCTGGCTTATTGTTCTCAGACTTGAAGATTGTCTTCTTTCTGAATCCAGGGTTGGCACTCCGTCGCTTCTCCCATTGTGCATCATGTTTGAGTGGAACGTCAGAGGAGATAACCTTGACCCACGGTGACCAGTCCATGTTTCGTAAGCTGAAGTTGTTCTCAAAGACTTCCTCTCTTCTCAGAAGTGGTGTCACAAACTTTGTTGGTTTCTGGAATAATGTAAGTGTATTATGAGACTCCTTGTACTTGTCATATCCTAACACAATGTAAACAAGAACTAAACAGTGTCATCGCGATTTAAAAATATATAAGAGAATATTTTACCTTCACTGATTTCTTTCTTGGCTTCCTGGTCGATTTAGGTTTGGCCTTTCTGACTCTTTGGGTGGATGCAGGAGGTTTCTTTAACTTTGGACCCTTCACATCTTTTTTGGCGGCACCGATTGTAATTGTCGTCGTTGGTGGAGAAGGGGAGACAATTCCATCACGTAGGGATGTAAACATTCCTTCCATGTCTTTACTGATGGCACCATTACTGCAACGGGCTCGAACCTCTTTCTCGTACACCTGATAAGGGCAAAATTCATTGATGAAACGAATCTTATAACAACGAAATTCACACAACTAAAATGACAGCCGCTCTACAGAAGTTATAATGAGGTTAATTTATTTCAACCTACATGAAGGATATCTTCTCCATGTTCCCTGTAGCAGATGGCCATGAGGAAGTCAAAGATGTTTGTAAAGTTGTCCAATTTAAGATGCCGACCTCCTGTCTCGTTGGAAATGGTTTCGTAGAACGTCGTATTGTCCGTACCGCACTGAACTCCGTAGATTTTTATTCCCTGAAATTAACGTTAATAAATAGAAAAAGTGAATAAACACCGTTGTGTCGAATTTACAGCTGTTGTCTCGAAGTAAAATTCTCGGTCCCTGTACACTCCTTCTCGGGTGTGTCGAACCTCGGATAACTCGAAGCAATTATGTTGGTCTCCTCAACTTCGACACAACAGAGTTGGACTGTAATGGGAAAGGACACAACACAGAAATTAATAGGAATTCAACATACCATTTTATTCAGAGTTTGCGTCTCCATTCTCCAGTCTATTTTTAGTTTATTGGCTTTGAAGTTTGGTTCGTGGGGCTTGTCGTCCCCGACGACGACGAGAACACGGTTAGATCCTGGTGTCCATGACAATTCCTCCCCAACTTGTCGGAGAACAAGCTCGTAACACTCGCCGCTGTCGTAATCACCTCCTGTATCTTCAACGTTCATGACGAAGTCGCAGAGCTCTTTGACGTCAGTGGAAAAGTCGATCCACTTTGTGACATATGTGGATTTGGTACAGTAGTCACCGTGTGCGAAGACGGCGATTCTGATGGCGGGGATGTCAGCCTGCAGCCGCTGTATCATGTCCTGGAGCCGTCCTCTGACTTCGGCGAGACAGTCGCTCATGGAGCCGGTTGTGTCAAAGGAGAAGACAATCTCCGGAAGTCCACCAGGGGGAAGTAAAGCCATGTTGAATCTGCTTAACAGGCCGAAAGCTTGCATATTATTATTTCAATAATCAAGTATTTCGAGTACATTTATCTTAGGCAACGCTGTTTTCGGAATGCATTGTACAGTTATGTTATAAATTATCCCGTTTAATTGATCCTATGATTTGTATAATAACGAATTACCTTTTATATTGATATGTTGTACACACAGGGTAGTTTATGTCAGCTGACTGATCTTACTCAGCGAGTACCTTAGCTTTTATACTGACTGAGAGGCGATAGCGACGAGCCCGCGTTGGCTTGTTTCGGTCTGCAGGTTCAGACTCGCTCTGCGGTGGACTTTTGGATATTTGACGACATGTTCATGTCTCTGTGTTTTTGCCCGTGTTTCAATGGAGGCTTCTGTTAAAAACAAAGGAGCTCAAAGTGATTAATCAGTTTACGTATAACGTAGTCGGGGAGTTACTGCACCTATTTTATTTCAGGAAAAGTGGTCTTTTTGATTCGTGCTTGTTCAGAACTGAGGTATGAAACACATTCAGAAACGTTTGAGCATACACCTCAATACGTTGTTGATAGCAATGCTCCTTTCACTGTACTTTGGTAGATATTTAAGCCGTATATAGTTTGAGTCTGCAATGTGAGGAGTTTGAATAACTGGGCATGAGGTCATTTCTTCGCGGAATATCTTATCAAGCAAAATATTAATGTGACCCCAAATGAAAATAAAAAATATATTTTGAAGCCTCTGTTACATTTTTATGTTTCTTCATTCATATTTCGTCTGTGTTGAGGGAATTTCATCATACGTTACAATTATATTGTTATCATTAAATACAGCATTCGCGTTATGATTATTTCAAGTCCGTCTATCTGTCGGTGTTTCACCTCAGGCCCCTGTTTGAAGTTCCTGTGTGGCATGAGTCCGTGTTCCATGAAGGCATGAACATACTTCAACTTTGGCCTCTGTTTCAGAGATGATGGTTCAAACATGCTTTCAAATATATTGTCATCAATCAATCAATCAAGTTTATGTCGTAATTCAGGCCACATAGTACAGTTGTAAGATAAATAACATTTTAGGTCACATGTCCAGATCATATGCCATCTCAATATGATATATCAGCACTACTACACTGACCAGTTCCATGTGATATATTTGTTCAAAGGTTATTATTCCACATTGATCATTTCACTTTTGAAATAAATTGAAGCCCGCATCAAACACATCACCACCGAAATTTCTATTTCTTCCATTTGTAGCCACCACCAAAAATGGGTGAATACTCAGTTTATTTTCCCCCCGAGAGTGTCTCAGTAACATTATCTGACCAGTGGTCTAACCATGTATAAGCAGTATATTTCTGTTTATCTTACGCATATGGGTCTAAGCTACAAGAGGAAGACAGTTCATAAAAAGGTATTTTGCAATAGGTGTATACATTTTGCAGAAACACGCAGAGCATAAGAAATAAAGCAGGATCAATATTAATCATGATACCGTGTATACTGTACCGTGATTTATATACATGTGAATGAGACTGTTCAGTTAGGATAAGCGTTCTTGGCTTCTGAGACGTATCTCTCAAACACTCTTTGTTTACATTAAGTTCCCCACGCGTGTGTATAGGACTCGGTATCGCAGTGCAGTGTGACAAGTTTGGCAAGAATGTGTGACGTAATTACTTCGCGGAATGTGATCCAGTAATCAGTTGTGCCCGGTTGGTCACATGTCCACAGATAACGGGTGAAAGTCCACTTACTACATACCGATATGGTCTCTGGCTTACTTCCAAAGCCATTCTTATATCAATAGAAATAACAGATCTTACAGCAAATATTGACCTGAATAGATAAATGAGATTAATGGTGGCGACTTGTGTCCGAATATCATTTGCCTTTTTCACATACAAATAATTTTATGTTTAAATCAGTGGTGTTGAAATTTAAATACCAATCATCAGATAATACCCCCAAATACATTTCATCACCATTTGTGCATAATACAAAATACTTACATAAGAATATGTAGGATTAGTATTGTAGCATTTCGTATGAAATTCATATAATTAACCTGAGAATATCCTTCAATGCACACCACTCCCTACAGTCATGATAATATCCCGGCTAGAATAGGTCTTCAGCAACCCATGCTTGCCGTAAAAGGCGACTATGCTTGTCGTAAGAGACGACTAACGGGATCAGGTGGTAATTAAGACTCGCTGACTTGGTTGATGCATGTCATGGTATCCCAATTGCGAGGAACGATGCTCATGATGTCAATCACTGGATTGGCTGGTCCAGACTCGATTATTTACAGCCCGCCGTCATATAGCTGGAATATTGCTGAATGCGGCGTTAAACAACAAACAAACAATGAAATCAATCATGGTTTTAAAGATACACCGTGGGCCCCGTTCCTCAAAGCGATTTTAGCGCTGAGTTGATCGTAAGTCCCATACTTTAACATAGGGTTACGATCATCGTAGCGCTAAGATCGCTTTGAGGAACGGGGCCCTGGACATTAGTAGGCGTAATATGCTTGATGAACGTGTTAATTTTATTATGCGTGTTCATTTTCACAAATACACATGGATAATATTGCCAACGTGGATGTGAATATTGTGGAAAGGCTGATAATAAGAAAGCTTCCTCGATATCATTTATTCAGTATGTTTGTTCATTTTCAAGTAGTAAATGTACTGTGATATAGCAGTTTGACACTTGCGCCCGTGCAACAAGCGGGGCTGCTTTTACATGAAGATGCCATCTCCGTGTGGAAATACACGATCGCTAAGAGGGTTTATTGTTTACAAGTTCTCCGGTCTATATACAAGAATTGTTATACATGCATATCTACAACTGTATGCACACATGTGTCAATTCGGGGTCAATTTTTCTCTCTCAATGTAATTAATCACACACAAAGTATATACGTAAATGTATGTGACAATGAAGAAATAGATGTGTGGACACACACAGCAAATATCACAAACGTGAAGATAGATGACAATGAAGATTTAGGTGTCTGGACACACACAGCAAATACCACACACGTGAAGATAGATGACAATGAAGATTTAGGTGTCTGGACACACACAGCAAATATCATACACGTGAAGATAGATGACAATGAAGATTTAGATGTGTGGACACACACAGCAAATATCACAAACGTGAAGATAGATGACAATGAAGAAATAAATGTGTGGACACACACAGCAAATATCACAAACGTGAAGATAGATGACAATGAAGATTTAGATGTCTGGACACACACAGCAAATATCACAAACGTGAAGATAGATGACAATGAAGATTTAGGTGTCTGGACACACACAGCAAATATCATACACGTGAAGATAGATGACAATGAAGAAATAGATGTGTGGACACACACAGCAAATATCACAAACGTGAAGATAGATGACAATGAAGATTTAGATGTCTGGACACACACAGCAAATATCACAAACGTGAAGATAGATGACAATGAAGATTTAGGTGTCTGGACACACACAGCAAATATCATACACGTGAAGATAGATGACAATGAAGAAATAGATGTGTGGACACACACAGCAAATATCACAAACGTGAAGATAGATGACAATGAAGATTTAGATGTCTGGACACACACAGCAAATAGCATACACGTGAAGATAGGTGACAATGAAGATTTAGATGTCTGGACACACACAGCAAAGTTTTTGAAGAAGATTTACTGTTTATATCAAAAAGGGCTTTTACGATTCATTTCTATATTCTGTAAAGAGAATCTTTTTGTGGCATTGGGGGCCCAGTCGTCTAAGACGCCACGATTCGCTGTGCAGAGTTCCGTCCCAGGGCACACCAGACACCTATGATTACTGGTTCGAATCCCGGTTCGCCCCTGTTATGTTTCTAGGTATGTATCTTAAATTAGCGATATTATAGCCAAAAAATGAACGGTTAAAGCGCTTAGTCAGCGCTCAATGAATACTTCTACATGGTTTAAAGCTTTAAAAGATTACTTTTTTTGCGCCTAATACACAACTGGTGATAGGTTTCTTGGACATTTATTTACAATATTTCACTTGACCCAAGTTTGATTCAAGTCATCACCGGTTTGTTAGTCTGCTAACTTAACTTTAATGATATATGTATTCATGACATTAGTTTTATTTAAGCTATATCCGTATGCGTTTATCAATATAGTACCAACGGAGTTGTGATGGATCTGTGTGTATGCGGGAGTGTGTGAGTAATTGGTCAGTATATTTGTATCAATTTTGTTTAGGCATATGGTAGGGTGTTTCAGCGTCGTGTTGTTTTTATATCTATATCAGGCCTGCCTATGAAAAAAAGTCGAATTAGGGATTCCGACTAAATTATGAGCATGTATTTATTAATCATGTTCATTTGTTGTTTAACGCCGCACTCAGCTATATTCCAGCTATATGACGGCGGTCTAAATATTAGAGTCTGAACCAGACAATCCAGTGATTGATATCATGAACATCGATCTACACAATTGTGATACGATGACACGCATCAACTAAGTCAACAAGTCTGACATCCATTCCTGTTAGTCACCTCTTACGACAAGCATAGTCGCCTTTTAAGGCAAGCATGGGTTGCTGAAGATCTATTCGGCCCGGATCTTCACGGGTCTATTTATGAATCACCATCAAATAGTGATGATACCAGGTGTTCATGGAAAGGTGAACTTATCCTGCCCCAAGGCTGATACACATCACAAACACATGCAAAGGAAAGTCAAGTGTTCACTTGTAAACCTAGCGACCAGGCTAAATAGAGAGTGAAAGCATGAACAGAAAACGATGTACACTGCAACGCAGCGAAATTATAGGGCCTAGTCACCCGATGCTTCACGCCATGAGATCACAAACATCTTGATGTTGAGCTGTGACATGATCATGGTCAATATTCAAATCATGTATCGCTATGTATTGTTATACAATGATTGGAACTGTATTTTTATTTTTATACTGATTCTGTTGAGATTCAGTAGACGTTCCTTGTATTGTATTTGGACATTCTATTAATGTACTTAATGGTGAGTAAGTTATTATATTTAGATGCTCGAATTATCTATAAACTTCCGGAATAGCGTGGATGGATGTCAAGCGTTATAGAAACGTGTGGAATATTCTGTGATTTTTCTAGTGACACTGGACTGGTAAAGCACTGTTGGGAAAGTGTGGGAAGCTGGTTGGACTATATGAGTGGATCGGGCGCGGCCCTGTCTCATCTCACATTACATCAAGACCAGCTTTTGTGTGAAGATTCCATTTCACCCTGGAATTC